ACCGCATGAAACCTGCTTACAACTTGAGTTATACTGTGTAAAAACTGTGTCTGAAAATACAAGAGAACAACCTCTGCCTCTGGAGGCTAATTAAAAAGTATCAACATTTTCTGGATAAGGATTTCCAGGATTCCCAGAAAAGTTCTGTTTTTTGCAAATCCCCATCACCTAGTTGGATCCCTTTTCTTAGGTTTCCATTGACAAATTCGTAAGTTTTCCTGTTTTGGATTTCCCAGTACAGCACTGAATAATTTATATATAATCTAGAGATGTATACTCAGTACTCCTTCGTTGTGTGACATGCTGTTATTTTATGGGGTTTTTTCAGTAATTAAAATTTTCTTTAAATAATCCCTATACCCGGACACTATCCGCGCAGCGCGGATAGTGTCTCACGGAGTCACGGAATAGTATATGTCATGCAGCTGTGACACGGGATCAAACGAACTTTCTAGACAGTTGTCTGGATAGTTCATGTTGTGTTTTAAACAGATGAAAAAGTGTGCTTTGATCGGCTTTTGCATGAAAGTCTATTAGGAAATAATTCAAGGTTTCTTCATTTCTATATAGATAATACCTGAACATGTCAAAGTGTTGACTGTAACAGTTGTTAGAGCAACTGGTGTTTCCGTTGGTGGATTTGGAAACTGTAAGATATTGTTTTAACTGCCCTGTTCAAACGAGAATGAGAGTTGAGAAGCGAGAGTTTGCATGACGAGAACAAGAGTTGCACGAGAGTTGATGAGAATTGAGAAGCGAGAGTTTGCACGAGAGTTTTCTCAACTCTCATGCCCCGGTCAAACGAGAACAAGAGTTGCATGAGAGTTGATGAGAGTTAATAAGAGTGTACGTTACCGGACTAAAATATTCCCGTGATTTAGTTTAACTTTAGATCGCGTTTGTTTTTGCATACACCATGCCTCCCCCCCCCCCTCAGTCAAACATTTTGCCCCCCTCCATGTAGTTGAAACCAGATCAGTGGTTGAAACAGTTGTGTTGTTAGTTGCATTAATCTTTGTTGGCTTCGGTATTCAAAGATTCCGTTGTGCATCACGACTTTACAAGGCCCTCGCCTCGGTAACAAGAGTTGGCGATCACACTCTTAATTTGTCTTTTTAGGGGAAACACCAGATCCATATGTGATGCTCAGAGTTCGTTCCAGTCCTAACGCAAAACAACGAACAACGACGAAAGGAGATGACGTCAATCCTGTCTGGAATGAAACTTTTAAGTTTTATTTAAATCCTGAGAAGAAAAACATACTGGGTATGAATGTAAATTGAACTGACTTTCTTTGCGCGAAGGCTGCGATCAGACTGAGTGCCCGTCACTTGTTTTGGCGCCTAGTTTAAACACGACGCTTCCAAATGAAATTGGGCACAGTGCCCAAGAAAGGGCACTACTACTGGAGGTAGTACTCCAGGCCCAGAAAATATATTTCTCTTCCTGGCAGCAAAATCGAAAAATAAGAATTTCCAGTGTAGGTCAACGTATGTTGCCGCACATTGTGATAAACTTCAGTATCGGCACAAGACAAGATGAAAGAAGACTATCTTTCTTTGGCAACATAAACAGTGGCGGCGCCAGGGGGGGGCATTATCCCCCCCCCATTTTGCCCCCCCCCTCAAAAAAATTATTAGTCACTAAGAGCGACTATAAAGGCTACACAAGCGTTTTGTCGTTATCGGAAAATGTATGGCTTATAAGTTGTCATTACTCATTAGTGAATGCGCGTATACATGAAACTGTCTTTTACAGTTTCAATATCAGTTTGTAAATCTCTGAATGGTAAAACTTGCCAATACTCCAATAATACGTTTCAAAAAAAGACAAAAAAGCTTTAGTTTTGCAGAGTTAAATTCTCAAACGTGTAAGGCACTAATAAGATGAAAGTATCACGAAATTATTTGAATAAACCACACCGCATATGTGGGGGGCGAATGTCCTAAAGAGGGTCGATATTCCTAGGGTATTCGCCCCCGGGGGCGATATTCCTAGGAATATCGCCACGTTTTGAGGGGGGGGGGGGCGACCTTTAAATATCATTGCTTGTCACAAAGGAGTAAGTATTCTTTGCATGCACATGACGTCACTACTCACTACGTGTCATATATAGGCGCCATCTTGGTTGATTTTAAAGTTTTGCCAGCCGTTCACGTCGAAATAGTCAAAATGTTATGACGCTTCTAAATATTACCAGTTGGATAGGAAGAAATGAAACTAAAATATTTGAGTGATACTGATTAAAAACTATTATGAAATAGTCAAAATGTTTCCCGTGTTGACATTGAGTTATATCAACACGGCTCTTAGCCAATCAGCGTTCAGAATTTACAAATGCTATATTATAAACCCTTTTCATAAATGGCTGCCGATTAAAAATTCTTTTATGTGCATATAAATTGGCCCAACTAGCCTCGTTTCTGGGTAGAAATTCCTTTGAAATCCTAACATGAGTACGAGGCTAGTTGGGCCAATTTATATGCACATAAAAGAATTTTTATTCGGCAGCCATTTATGAAAAGGGTCATGTATGACGCTTCTAAATATTTAGAAAGTTTAAACTAGGATCAAAGTTATCGGTCAGTGAAAATCGAAAAATCGCGTCGCGTTGTCGAATTGCGTCCGGTGTGTCTGGACCTTTACAGTAAACACAATATTTTCAAAAGTTGACATTAATATTATCATAGGTCTAGCTAGATGCGCTGAAGTTAGGGTTGATAATTTATACATATGCTTTTTTTCTGTGTTGGTGTTGTGTACTCAGGTGAATATGATGTTTGTGATGTTACTCTGAGCGTATATCCACACCGGGCGAGCTTGAAAAATATGCCCGGCCACGGTGGGAATCGAACCTACGACCTTTGGAACACTAGCCCAATGCTCTGCCAACTGAGCACGCGGTCAGGACGGTTCGAGTAAGTGATATTTCGGAACAGAATCCAGTTCCTTCGATACCAATGTAATCTAGTAATATGATTTTTTTTGCATTAATATAAAAGCATATGCATTAATATAAAAGCATTTTTATCCTTGTCGTAGAACTTCTTTTTTGTACTTCGTATTTATATTGTCCATATATATAGGCATAGAATTATAACGTGCAAATCAACGTGTACTAAACAGTCAATATTATTGCCCGGGGGTGGGGATATAGACCCAATTTGTTGGTCCAGGAGTGGGGCTCACTTTAATATTTTTGTTTTGTTTTGAAAACATCTTGCTGTATTATGGATAGTTCACGATTTGTGGCACAATACGACAAAGAATGAAGAATATAGATTTTTAGTTGCCACGAAAAACAACCAAGATGGCATCGATTGCAAACGAGTAATACTGTCAAATAAGGATGGTTTTCTGTCATCACAGTAGGAATTTTGCCATAGTCAAATTCTAAGTTTTGAAGTATTATAGTAAGAAATGCGAATGTAAAATTAATATATTTAATTTCTTTAGCGAAACGAGGGAACTGAGATTTAGTTACGACATTTGCGACGAAGAGAAAGAGTTTCTGAAGAAAAGAAGTGAAGTCGTGTTGAAAAAATTTTCAAAGCTTGGTCTGGGAGAAAAAACACCAAGAAATAAGAATGAGGTGAAAATAACTCAAATATACTCTACTTGTTGCAAACTAAAGTATAGGCCTTATGGCAGGAATCGACCAAAAGGGGCACTTTTGTATATGACCAAAATCAAACGATTTTATGTCGTTCACGAGCCGAACGAAACGTTAACAATTTTTGAAAATATGGAGTCTAGATAACGTCGGAAATGGCCTTTACATGAGTCTTTACTACTACGAAAAGGGCACTTTCTCCAGAAAAAGAGGGCGCTCGTTCAAGAAATACTTTTTTCGTTCTTTCGTTCCAGAAAAAAGGGCACTTTTTTCACTTTAAAAAAAAGCACATACCCCATCCCCCCCCGGTTCCGCGGCCCCTTAATTGAGCTACAGAGAGACAGTTGTCGAACTCCAACCGCAAGTCAGTCATGTATATTTAATTAAGTTACAAGCTTTGTTACAACATTAAGATTACAAAACAAATAACAATAATTAACAAATATAAAACATTTTCCGTGTTGATATACAGTTATATCAACACGAGTGGAAATTGGGAAAACGAGAAATTGTGGAACTGTTAACCATATACCTTATTATAGGAAATTAACGATGCACTTTATTAACGCGGATTTTAAAAATTCGCGTTAATTTAATTAATGTTAATTTATGTCATCGTTAATTTTAAGTAAGTAATTTTTATTTATCGTTAGTAAAAAAGACCTTGATTTGTTTTATGTAACACTAACTCTTCTAATATCAAAATACAGCATATTAATGTAAACTAAAAACATCAGTGCTCCTCTCAACTCAGTTCACTATTCGATTCGCGTTAAATTTAATTAATTTGTCAACCATGGAGATCAGATTTGCGTTAATATAATCATGTTTTAAAAGACCTAGAAGCAATCCGCGTTAATTTGATGTCGCGTTAATTTATGTCGCGTTAATAAAGTGCATCGTTAATTTCCTATAACAAGGTAATAATATTTATAGGTACCAGTGATTGCTATCATGGGATCAGGAGGAGGATATAGGGCAGCTTGTGGATTATCGGGAGTAATGGTTGCTCTTCAAGAATCCGGGATCTTGGACTGCGCTACATATGTAACTGGACTGTCAGGATCTTCATGGTATGTACTGTGTGAACTGCATTGTAAAACTGGAGTAATAACCTCAGTCGATTGCTTGAATGAAAAGTGAATTAAGAGCTCGCAAGCTACCACATTTTGAATGCTTGACAGGAATTTCTTGCTTGCAGTACACACAATTTGTTAAAGATCTGCAAACAAGTTGTAACAAAGTTGTGATCAAGCCATGCGATAGGGAGTTTACGATCTACGACGCGGCCGGCTCGACGACGCGCTTTCAAAACAAAGAAATTTAGTGTTTCCACAAGCAATAGTATTATGTTGCTTGTGATGTTACTCTGAGTGTATATCCACACCGGGCAAGCTTGAAAAATATGCCTGACCACGGTGGTCAGGCATATTTTTCCCACCGTGGTCAGGCATATTTTTCAAGCTTGCCCGGTGTGGATATACACTCAGAGTAACATCACAAGCATCATATTCGCCTGGGTGCATTACACCAACACAGAAAAAAATTCAGTAGTATTATGTGTTTTATCGCCATGCAAACCTACAAAGAACTTACAAAGAAATTTGTCATGCAAGATAAAAACTGTGAATAATTTGTGGTCCCATGAGTATTGTCAACCGCGTTGTCATTCTCAACACAACGTTAAAAAAAGCATTATTACGTCTTTCAGGCAACGCGAAAGCTTAATGCGACACAAGAGGTGTTACTAAAAGTCGAAATTACAGCAAACATTGCATCGCTTTAGCCGAACGTAGCATTTTGTAAGGTTATTTGAAAGAGTCAAATATTTATTACAGTAAACGAATTGCTCAGCGCTCATTCTTGAGCTAAAATTTAGACCGCGTCGTTGAGCCGGCCGCGTCGCAGATCGTAAACTCCCTAATATCAGGATGTGTTCGCCCTGCTTGTTCCCAGTTGTTGTGAGAAATCTGGAACAAGTTGTTGTCATCTTGTTACAATGTTGATGACGGTAACAGACTCGCTACAAGTTGTTCCATGCAATAGGACTAATACAGGTTGTTCGTGTCACTAAGTTGCTGCGAGATGATATGCGTGCAGACGATATCAGACTTGTTGGAACAATTTGTTGCGAGTTTATTGGCCTCATCAACCTTGTTACAAGATGATAACAACTTTTTCCGTCCTTGTAAACAACTGGGAACAAGCAGTGCGAACACATCTTGTTGACAGGGTTCGTACGGGTCCTGGAAAACCTGGAAAGTCATGGAATTTCAATATTCCAAAATCCGGTCCTGGAAATCCTGGAAAATCAATTTTAGTCATGGAAAGTCATGGAAAATTGAAATTTTACATAACATTAACAAAGTATTTTACTTATTTCAATTTACCAGTCATAGCAATAATGTATGAATTGTTGTTATATAACGGATTTTTGCAAGAGCGAAGTGAATTTTGTTCTTTTATTATCTGTTATCGTTAAAATATTAACGAATTTCAGAAATTCCAGATTTCCAAGTCATGGATTTTGAAAAAAAATGGTCATGGGAAGTCATGGAAAAGTCATGGAATTTTAAATGGGAGAAGGTGTACGAACCCTGTGTTGACAAGCTTTGAAAACTCTGAGAGAACATAGGGAAAACTAGTTAAGCAAGTTGTACTGCAACACATACGAAAGTACAGGGGGTGGATAAAGAACAGGTATAGCCTGTTCTTTGTCACCATAAGTAAAGAACTTCTTAACAAAAGTTATGTTTATGAACTCACTTTTGTGACTAAGTTAGGAATATCAGAGTATTGTAACGCGACGAATTTGATTATCTTGGCACATTTCTGATTCGAGTCCGCCATCTTGAATCATGAGTAAAAACTCTCTAAAGCTACGTTTACACGCTGCGATTTGTCGGGCCGATTTTGGTAAATAATCGTTGCCCCTTCTTCGACATTTAGCGATTTAAACGTTCAATTGAAGCTGTCCGCTCTCTCGTCTGTTCATATTATAGTTGTCTGCGTGCGAAAAGTTTTCAACAACTTTACAACGGAAGAAAATCGTTGAATCGTGAGAAAAATGTGTGTTTTGCTACAGATTTTTCTCCCGATTTTGTGAATCACAAGGCGCTGATAGAAGTACTCACGACAGGTTATTTACATACAGCGAGCAAAATCGGCCCGACAAATCGCAGCGTGTAAACGTACCTTAAACGTATCAATTTTTCTAATCCTTGACTTGAAATCACAATTTTTATTCACACATTAACAAACGTTCACAAACATAACTTTTGTTGAGACTTTATTTACAAAAAAAACAGGATATACCATATAGTTTAATGACCACTCCCTGTACGTCATCATGGCTACAGAGTGTACGACCTCGTACGTGATGTACGGCATTTTTTAACCCCTATAGGCCCGTCGATGTATTAATTGAACTGTACTTTGTGCGTGTGTCTTTCTCCAGGTATATATCCTCGCTGTACATTCGTGAAGGTTGGCCCGATTCCATTACATGTGAAGAAATGGCGAATGATCTCAAGAAGAGATTTGATACTAGCTTGTTCAGTCATTTTCAATACGATTTTAAACGTCGTATGGACGAGAAGGCAAAAGGTGGCCAGCCTGTCAGATTCACTGACTTCTTTGGGATGGCAATTGGAGATGCATTGCTACCGGTAAGTTAATAAATAAATTATGGATTAAGCAGTGCTGTAAAAGTTACTTATCTTTTGGAACTGGTTAGACTTCCAACCTTGGAAGTCCTATAAACGTGAGTCTTTATTTTTTCTCAAAAAAAACTGGGGATTAAGGATTTTCACAAATAACTTAAGACCCAAACCCAACAGAAGTAGAGAACCTTGTCCCTCTTATTTGTCCAACATTGAACTTTTCATGTCCAAAACATAATGCAAATAACAATGAGTTTAATAGGTAATCTACATTAGATTTGGTACAAGGTTAAACAAAGCGTCAGAGCGAGATCATTTATCCAGACTTTGTTTCAGGAAGCACCGGAAAAGGTATCCTGAACCCTATTTAGTATTTTTGCACAAGTGAATATAACAAATCCTACAAGTTGATTGACGGTCAAATTTGAGGTGAATATAACAAAACCGAAATTTGCAAAATGGCGGTTAGCCGTTTTGTGGAAGTTACTGATGAAGAAAGAAGCGAAATTAAAATAAATTCAATCCCAAAAAAACACAAAAGACTTGTGCAAAAGTACTAAAACAATTATTCGCCTTAGGCTCAGTGATTATCGGGGGAATATTCACCTCGACTTCGTCTCGATGAATCTTCCCCGATAATCACCTCGCCTTCGGCGAATAATTGTTAAATAATGGGCTCATCTCAATTTCGCGATTTTGTTCGCATCTCACTCGATTCAATAATAGTTGAAGGGTCTTGTAGATGGGACCTTCTTGTAGATGAAGACCCTTCAACTATTATTGAATCGAGTGAGATGTCAACAAAATCTCGATATTTATATACCCATAACCTAAAAGGCTAAAACATGGCAGTAGCTACCTTATATATACAGCTACATGAAGTTGTGGTTAGAGCTCGACAACTGGCCTCTGTGGCCAGGGACGTCGCTACAGGGGTGTGTGTGTGTGTGTGTGTGTGTGTGTGTGGGGGTAACACTTTGGTAAAATTTGGTCAAAGTTTGAGATAAAAATGGTCAAAGTTATGAAATCGTTCGCAATTTTAACAATTTCTAAGCTTTGGTCATGTTTGCGCTGAAACAATTGCAAGCCTTGCTTATTTTGGTCGAAAAATATTTGAAGCTTTGCTTATGTTAGTGCGGAAATTTTTTTGACACCCCCCCCGTCGACAACATTTTTGGGAAACATTTCTACTACTTAGTCAAAATTCTAGGAAAAGTTGGTCAAAACATGATGACACCCCCCCAATGTTGATGTCTTCACGACGTCCCTGTGTGGCTCAGTTAGTTAGAGCACTGCACCGGAATCGCAGCTGTTCCTGGTTAGATCTAATAAATGTATATAATCTTTCTCCATTTATCTTTCGTACCAGGTATAATGAATAATCATGTTTTGTTTTTCTAGAACCAAAACTGCAAATTGAGCTTTCAAGATGGTAAAATAAGACACGGCGAAGTACCGCTGCCAATTACCACTGCTATTCGAGTCCGTAAAGATATCCCTGCAGGGGCATTTAACGGTATGTGTAAGTTTATATTAATTTTACAAGATGTATCACATATAATCCATTTAAGCTACGACTTATAGATATTTTTATCTATGCTTTCTTTAGAATGGGTAGAATTCACACCATATGAATTTGGTACTGCCAAATATGGTGTGTTTGGTAACATCACAGATTTTGGCGGGAAATATTATAAAGGACAATTGGTGAAACGATATCAGGAGTCTCCATTGCATTATTTACAGGGTGAGTTGAATTCCAGCTAAGGGCTGATATACCGTGGGATGCTTTAGTTAAGTATTATGCTTAAATATGTGAACATGTCGAGGTTGTTATACAGCCATATTTTCAAATATACTCTACTTTAATTTAATTTAATTTAATTTAATTTAATTGCTTTTCCATCATTGTGTGATATAGACATAAACACATACGCACCCACACAACGCAAACACAAACACAAACACAAATACAAACACACTAAACTGATGGCTGGGTAACCACAACAGCCTGAAAAGCCAATTACTGTGGGCCCAAAAGATTAAAACACAAACAACGCCTAAAAACAGCAGTTCACTGGTTCGGTTAACGTTCTTGCACTGTTGCATTTCGGGCAGATAGTTTTAAATGTTCTTGGATCATTACATTCGTACGCTTTCTCCAATGCGGCAAAATAATATCTTTGCATTACTGACTTAAACGTGCCCAGGTTTTCCATACTTAAGTCTAACGTGTCCGTTAAAGTGTTCCAAGTTCTGATTGTTCTAATCCAAAAAGATTTTTGGAAAGTCGTTGTTCTGCATTGCGGTACTTCGTACTTCGCTGTATTGGTGTTGTTAGAAACTTTAAACTTGCTACGGCAACTATCCAGTCACGAATACGTAATAAAAAGCCGATATAGCTTTATAAACAAAAGATGATGTAAAACGTAACAGAACAGCGAACAGATTCGGCCATCTCAAATAATGACAATGTTGGGCCATAGTAGCGTTGCAGACAGCAGAGGAGAAAGGGCAGTAAGGCTCCCTCATGCATCACCCAATGGAAAACGTGCACCCTTTCTTGCATGCTGGCGAGGCTAGATCTACCCCTGTGTCATTGTTACTGCAAGCTTCCTTGCGAGTATTGGTTTTCTGATATGGATATTGTTGGATTTGCTAGGCATATGGGGAAGTGCTTTCAGTATTATTTTGGCTACCTTGAACTCAGGTCAAAAGAAAACTGAGGGACAAAGACAAGAGGAAATAGGTAGGTGAAGGCATGCACTCAATTTATTTTTGCACCGTATAGAAAGATAGAAAGAAAGGCC